AGTGAGATTAACCTGTGAGATAAACGGGTCAGGCACCAAGCCTGAATTCTTCACAAACTGGTAAACTAGCTTTGGAAACTGGCAGGGATCAATACCTTCCTTCTCCCACAGTAGAGGGGGAAACAAAAAGCAATAAAATCTGACTTCATTGGCCCCTAAAGTCTGGAAGATGGGTATGATTTAAAAACTGGAAGACAATGCCAAACCTTTCCCTACCCATAAAAAAAAAAAAAATTTCTTTTGGAAGCCCTTCAAAGTGAAGTGAGAACGAAGCCTGGGATATAAACCATCACACCTGGAAAGATGCATTTCTCATTGCCAATCTCATTAAACAAGAGAGGCAGGAGTGAAAGATGCTGCCGAAACTGCTCACCTTCTTCCACACACCGCTGTAAGCTCGTGTCTACAAATCACACGCCCTGGCTATGGAGTATGGAGCAGACTCCGTCCCTCCCTTTAGTAGAAGTCAAAAGTGGTGGTGTTTTTCCCCTCCAGTGTCTTCTTCCACACTCCCCTGGGTCATCTCAAACTCTCAACACCCTGAGTTTGGACACTGTGCCAAGAGTCCCAGCTATTGTGAAAGCTGATACAAAAGGCAGAGTAAGCTCTCCTGTCACTTAGAAGGCCCTGATTGTGCAGGCCAGGAAGACAGAGCCCTGCAAGCCACTCCCTCCTGCCCAGTGACAGCCTTCCTCATCTGCCTTACTTCCTGGTAGGCCAGGAATGGGCAACCTCTGTGATCGGCAGAGCCATCAGGGTCAGAGACTGAAGGCAGCTGGTGCTAAGCGATGACAGAGAACCCAAGCTGTAGGGTGGCACCAAGAGCCTCCCCAAAGCTAGGAGCAGGTGAGAGAAAAGAAGGAAGAAAATATCCTAGTACCTAAGAGGAAAGTCAGAGTCCCCAAGCCTGCTCCCTGTCCATTGTATGGGTCCCACCCACTTGGACTAATCTAGAAACCATTCAAACTTTGCTCTCATTGTTCTGTTTGTGTCCTGTCACTGCTAGTATCCCCAGTAAGGAAGTTAAGGCCATGAATCCCCCAAAGGAACATCAGTAAATAGTCAACAGGTGGCAGCTATTTTATTATTGTTATATACAACTGGTGAGAAAGTGTGTGTGTGTGTGTGTGTGTGTGTGTGTGTGTGTGTGTGTATCTGTGTGGGGACATTTGTGAATGTGCATGTAGCAGGCAGGCTTGCTTTATTATTCTTCATCTTATTTTTAACACAAGGTCTCTCACTGAGCCTTGAAGCCCATGGCCACCGAGCTCCAGAGATCTGCCTGGAGTCTCCCACTCCCCACTCCCAGCTTTGACATGGAGGATGGGGATTAGAACTCAGGTCCCTGTGCTTGTCTGGCAAACATTTTATCAACTGAGCTATTTTTGCAGCCTTCAGAGAAATTTTAAAATGTAATCTTTAACACATTGGATGGCTGGAGCAGCTAATAGAGGGCTAGCCCACTCCTTTGTACGGACTGGATCTTTGAGCATTATAGACCCCTAACATCTATCTCTCTACTATGCTCTATCTCTGTTTAAAACTCTGCAGAGACAAAGACTCTACATTTCTATACTCCCCTCTAACAGATACTGAAGCTACTGGGTTGTTTTAGTTGATGTTAAGAAGAGAAACTTCAACGCAAGAGTGAAGCTGTGTACACTATCATCCCAGGCATTCAGCAAGAGGTGCCGGGGCTACTTTTGGCTCACAGCCACAGCCCACACTGGCAAAGCTACAGAGATAAGAGCAGTGGCTTTTTAAGCATCTCACTTAAGCAGTGACCTCCATGCTCAAAGGCACAGAAAAGGAGGGACCCCTTATCTGAAGCGCTGTAAGTCAATGTGCCAGACTTAGAGGCTGTGTTAAAAACTATTTAGTGGTGTGTGTGTGTGTGTGTGTGTGTGTGGCATTTGGTATATGTGTGTATGTGTGTAGTATGTGGTGTGTGTACGTGTTATGTGTGTGTTGTATGTGTGATATATGTGTGATGTGGTTGTGTGTGTGTGATATGTGTGGGGTGTGTGTGTGGTATATGGTGTGTGTGTGTGATATATGTGTGGTGTGTGTGTGTATGTGTGATATGTGGTATGTGTGTGTGTTATGTGTGTGATATGTGTGGTGTGTGTGTGTGTGTGTGTGCACGCCCATGAGTTTGTATGTAGAGTAGACAGGACAGAATTCATGTTGTTGACTCTTGCTCCCTACATTCCTGGAAAGAGCCCATGCTTTGTTTCTTGTTTTTTATCTTTTTTTGGGGGGGGGTGTAGTTTATAAGTGAAGGAGGAACCAGCCTCAGAATAGTCAAGTAACTTGCCCAAAGTCACATGAGAGGTGACAGGATTCCTGCCTAGGCCCCACTCTCCTGGCAGTAGAGCATTCTTAAAATAGACTGCAGATAAAGGAGAGGTGGCCTGGCTGGACGTGGGTATGACTCGCAGAGGGAGCTATCAGATGGTTATCATATGAAGGGAAAGAGGCTTTGCATGATGCTAACTGGAGCAGCTTGCTGGGTGCCTCCTGACGCCAGTGTCCCCTGTTTGTGTCTCTGCTCCTGTGCTGGGAATAAAGGATTACATTTCAGCAGGTAAGGTTAAGTGCCCTGAACATCCCAGTGTGCATTTGGAAGACTTGTCTCCTCAGGCATGAGATCAGAAATTATCTCCTGAACACTGGGTAGCCTTTTTATGAAGACTGAGGCACCTGACAGAGAGTATTTGTTATAATGTCATTAATTCACCAGTGCAAAGCAGTAGCACCTAGTGTTGAGTGTTGGGAGAGAAGAAACAAGAATCTAAATTCTTATACAATATTTCTTCAAATATCTAGCCACCGTCATGACTCCAGCTTTGGAAGGCAGCAAATTTAATTTTTTTATTATTTATTTATTGGTTTTTCAAGATAGGGTTTCTCTGTGTAACAGCTCTGGCTGTCCTGGAACTTGCTTTTGACCAGGCTGGCCTCAAACTCTCAGAGATCCGCCTGCCTCTGCCTCCCAGAGATCCTGCTGGGATTACAGGCGTGCGCCACCACCGCCCAGCCTGGAAGGCAACATTTGCTTGTATTCTGTCCACACAATCAATTGGTACAGTGACAATGGAGACTTTGAAAACGTAGGTTTTTTGATGGGGGTGGGGGGCCAGATGGCTCAGTGGGGAAGGTCACTTGGTGCCACACCTGATGACCTGAGTTGGAGGTGTTGGAGTCACATGATTGAAAGGAGAAGAAACAGCTCCCACAAGTTACCCTCTGACCTTCCCAAACTCTCCACATCTCTCTCACACACAATAAACAAATAAAAAGATAGTGGATCTAAATACCAAGAATCCCTATTTTTAATGCATTCAGCGGAAGAAAAACTTCATTTATAGCATGTGTGGCCAGCAGCGCACTGGGCTTGGGTGACAGAGATGCAATTGGTAGCTTGCAGGATAACCATTTGAACTTTCAAGGGAAAACTCGGACTTCCCCTTGTGAAGCTTGCATGCCCCATTCTGTATAAGCCCGCAACTGGTCTGCATCTCCCAGAACAACGGGGAGCAGAACAGGAAAGGGATGAGCAAGCATTGAGAATACAGCGCGTTAGCAGGTCAGGTCTCTTTACAGACAAAGCCAGACCAGGAGAGTTCCTCTTTCCCTTGACATAGAGATGTTTCTGGATATCCTTGGGTCCTTAGGAAGAAAACATGCATACTAGCATACGGTCCCTCAAATTCCTGCCCTCACAGCCACACAGCATCTAACAGAAGATTTAAGCAATGATCAACTTTGTCAAGTCACAGCTGATCTGGTTGTCTACGGAAGTCTCACCACACCCCCAACACCCCCACCTCCAGCTATTGTTGCCCAGATGAGCAGGGCTCAGCAAACGCCTTTGTGAGCATTGGGAGCTTGCTCTTGTGGTCTCATGCAGCCATCACTTAAATGAAAACTGTTTGCCGAGGCTCCACACCAGCCCATGAAGAAATGCCAACGAGCAGCCACACATCTCTCATTGCTGCACCGATATGGTTTCCTGGGGATTGTCTGTATCGCTTTGCATGCATCTAGAATGTACCCATATGTAAGAGGAACATACAAGCTACTCATCCTCCCCACAAAAACAAACACAAATAAAAACCAAAGCAGGGCTGGCAAGATATCTCATCGGTTCAAAACTCTTGCCACAATGCCTGAAGACTCCAGTTTGATTGCTGGGATACACAAGATGGCGGGAGAAAGCCAACTCTCACAAGTTGTCCTTTGAACTTGATGTCCACTCTGTGGCTCAGGCATAGAGTGGACATACACTCTAGTCCCTGCCACACACACCCAAGGCCACACATATGTGTGCATACATTAAACAAATAAATGAAAATGCAACTAAAATTTTTTAAGCAAAAAAAGTGACTGGATATCTTTTGAAATATGCTTAGTAAATTCTCATGTCACTTCCTCCGATAAAGGAAATGAGTGGAGGTGGAAACCATGGAGTCGTCCCCCGCCATTTCTAGACTTCTTATTTAACTTTTGTTTTATGTGCCTGAAGGGTTCAGAACCCCTGGAACTGGAGTCACAGACAAGTGTGAACTGCCATGTGGGTTCTGGGAATTGAACCCAGGTCCTCTGGGAGAACAGCCAGTGCTCTTGAATGCTAAGCCATCTCTCCAGCCCCCATTTCTAGACTTCTTAAGTAGCAACCTTTGCAGTTACCATGGTATACAGTATGTACAGCTCAGCCTACGCCGCAGAACACAAATGAAATCATCTTATATTTGCCCTTTACTTCAGACTTTTTAGTTCCCTTTACTAGGGTCAACTGGGTCTTCCATGTAAGCTGAGATGGGGGATGGGAACGGAATGGCTGTGGGTGAGTCATGCTATTCTCCTGGTTGCCTGGCAAGGTACTGTGTACGCTTAAGTAAGAAACCATCTCGAAAATAGATTTAGCGTCTTTCCCAAAGAACATGAAAATAAATAATGAAAAGGGAGGTGACCAAAGCCTGAAGACGGGCTCCTACCTCAAAGTCATTCGCTTTGTTGTAGTGCATATTGAGGGCTCGGTACAGCTCACAGTCTCTAGTGATGGACAGCTCTTCTGTGCTGGTGACCCCGTCATTGATGGCTTGACGAGCGTACTTCTCCATCTGAATATAGTAAAACTCACGGAAATTGCTGAACCACTTGATGAGCTGGGAGGTAATGCATCTGTTGAACTGTTAAATATAAAGGTTGAGAGAGGTGAGCACACCACCGCCACTCTCTTGTTAGTTGACTTTGCTTAAGTAACATACACATTTTAAAGTTTCATTTCTGCTCTCCCTGGAAAGGGAAGTAGTAAGTGCCAACAAAATGGCAGCGGCAACAGGAATGCACATTTTCACAGAGTATCGGAAAGCATACGGGATGACAGAAACCACACCACTGCCCTCTATACTTCAAGTGGAAAACTCATGTTCTAAGTCAGGTTTTCCTTAGACCAATGGTCTTTTGGTTAAAGAAAAACCCATAGTTCTACCTTCAGCAGAGCCCATGCATCTGTCTACTGCTGGGAAAAGGACTGGAGCCAGAGTCCTAGGCAGAGTTGTTGCTTCCAAGCTCCAGTGATGATCAGTACCAAGGCCATGACTTCATCATTGGCAGGACATGGTGTGTGTGTGGGGGGTGGGGTTGGGGGAGAATGAGTGTGTGCATGGGTGTATGTGAAAACGTGTGTGTGAGAGTGTGTGTGAGTGTGAGTGTGTGAGTGTGTGAGTGTGTGAGTGTGAAAGTGTAAGAGTATTGTGTGAGGGTGTGTGAGTATATGTGTGTGAGAGTGAAAGTGTATGTGTGTGTGAGTGTGTGTGTGAGTGTGAGTGTGTGAGTGTGAAAGTGTGAAAGTGTAAGAGTATTGTGTGAGGGTGTGAGGGTGTGTGAGTATATGTGTGTGAGACTGTAAGTGTATGTGTGTGTGGGTGTGTGAGTGTGAGTGTGTGAGTGTGTGAGTGTGAAAGTGTAAAAGTATTGTGTGAGGGTGTGAGGGTGTGTGAGTATATGTGTGTGAGAGTGTAAGTGTATGTGTGTGAGTGTGAGAGAGTGTGAGTGTATGTGTGTGTAAGAGTGTGTGTGTGAGTGTGAGTTGTGTATGTGTGTGAGAGTGTGTATGAGTGTGTGAGAGTGTGAGTGTGTGAGAGTGTATGTGTGTGTAATCCATTCGTTGTAGAGTTTGTCCACAGTGTTTATTTCCAGTGTGGTCTGGGGAGACCCTGACACCTGTTCCTGTGCTCTCTGCAGTCAGTGGGAAGGTCCCCCCCTTGATGGCCATGCCGTCTAGGAGGTCTGGTTAAGACACAGTTCACAGATGGCAGAGACAGGACATTTATTATTACATTTTTTTTAAATGCCACATTACTATAGCATGATTGGGCTTTAAAAGTCTGTTTACCCAGGTTTCCCAACAACCTTTGAAATGAAGATGTCTTCCTGGATGGGCAAATGGTCCCATCCTTATTGACTGCTTTCCTCTCGAAAAGGACAGGTGTGCCCTAACTTGCCAAGTTAAAACCAATAAATCCACTGCTTTCTATCAGGCAGGCTGACAGACACCCTGCCTTTAGTCATCAGGGCCATTCCCTTCCCTGGGCCCCCAGAAAAGGGTGTACATCCATCAAAAGTCACCAAGGAACACTTATCAAATCCTGGCCCTGAGACTATCCAGGCTGCAGCAAGACGGCAGCGAGAGTGTGTATGGGGCTGTAATTACTATGGAAAGTTGTTTCTCTACTAGCAAAGATGATAAGTGAATGAAAATTTATGACAGAGAATGGGAGTCACAAGGAAACAGAAGCAGGGGACTGGTGTTCCTCCCAGAAGGCCATCTTGTATCCTAATTGCCGTGGAGTTGCAAGGGCCCTTACAGATAATTGACCAGAAAATGATTAAGTCATCAGCAAAGCGCTTCTGCTTGCAAGAGTTCAAACATGTACTTAACCTGTCCAAGAATTATATTTTCACTCTGTGCGTCTGCTCTGTCTCCATTCAGCCTTGCGGGGAACCCGATTAGAAAGACAACTGAAGGACCCCCGTTATCTGATCTTCTGGTGGCCGATTTCAATAGAACTTAAACCCATTACGATTTGCTGAACTTGGACTTCTTTCCATTTTATCTGAGCAGTAAAATACACTGTCCAAATTTCCAGACACTGAGATAAGGCCTACCAGGCCCCCGTGACGGCTAACTGTTCCTTTTTAATTCTTTTAGAACAAGAAACAAAACATTACAAAATGATAGCAGGCTGTGCACTGGGGAATGAAAATTGCTTTGACATGGAGATTAGGCCTCTGTATTGTTACAAGACATTGTCTCATATGGACAAGAGTACTGTAGGGGGAAAAAAATAGAGGGGCATTTTTTTTTTCTAGAATGGTCATGAATGACCCTAATGGAGGGGACAAAAAAGTAAGTGCGCTTGCCATTATGTACGAATGGGACATAAAGGGAGATTTAAAGCGTATTGTTGGAGGCTGGAAATACCGGAGAGAGAGAGAGAATGGGCAGAAACAACAGACTCCAAACACGAGATAGGCAAAATGAGCAATGCCCACAGCTCCAAGAGCTGGGCTTTCCCCTGCACCGAAAGGGAGATGAAATGTGCTGTGGTTTTCCGTTCCTGCCTAAGAGCAAAACACAAGCAGCCTGCTCTCCAGGTCTTCCCATGGAAAGAGGAAGAGTATTCAACTTTAAAAGAGTTAATTCTGCGCGCTCTGTGGAGCGCTTTATGAGCAAAGGACCAATTGTTCTATAAAGGCAAGCTCTGTAGTGTGCTAATGTGTTACTGCAAAAACTAATCGCTTCAATAAAGAGGTTGTGTTTCCAGAGTGTGCGAGACTCTGTGACTTTGATTAATACTTCCCACGGGACATCTCAGCCTCAATATGGGCTGGAGAAACTTCCTAAATATTCAATGAGCATGGTCAAAAGATGTATAAAACAAATCAACCTGACACCTTAATCCGGCTAGGCAGCAGTTGACTCAAGGGGTGGAGGGAGCGAGATACATCATTTAACACTGCAGGCTTGAAAGGCTGTGAACGCCTGCTCCTCAAAGCCGAAATGACACCGAATCTGTTGTAGTTAGTGGTCCAGGAGTTATTGGTGTGTACATTAAAATCACCCAGTAGTGAATGGGAAGCCAGAGAGGCCTTCCATCCTGGCACCTCTTACACACTCACAGACTTGTTCTCAATGGGCCTGAAAACAGGATGAGCAGAGCTGCTAAGGGGAGGCGGGTGGGGGTGGAGCTGGATTCTCTGAGAGAACACAAACTTTAGATTCTCCCTGGAGCAGTTAAACTAAGGTGGCCCAAGATTCGTCTTTCCTTTCCACCTCCACAGGCACATCTCTGGGTGCCTGGGATTCCCTTCTAACGCTTCTTCTCTGGGTGACTGAGAGCATCTACTGCCTTCACAGTAGAGGCCACTTGGGGAGGGATGGCCAGCAGTGGTCCAGTGTCTCCTGGAGGGAGACATGAAGTCATGGGCCTAACTCAGTCTCATATCACCTTCAGAAGCCTTCCTCCAACACGCAATCTCCAGTTATGGCTATGACAGGCATCTAGGTAACACCTTACTTGAGAAATTAAATATTTCCTGCATATACTGTTTCCCCTGGTGTTTTTTTTTTTTTAATTGCATAGTCACTATTTGAACTGGAAATGACTCAACAATTTGAAAGAAGTATATTCTATTAGGGTTAGGACTTTTTTTTTTTGGCATTTTTGTTGAAATTCTAGGGCCCCTTTCCCAATTTCTAGGGCTCTCTCAATTCTGACGTGGTTTCTTGAATCTTAACTTCGATAAAACTTAGTACTGTGTCTCCATACACAGCACAATACCTATTCCTGTTAGCCTTAAAAAGAAACAGATGGGATTGTATGTGCTTGTATGTAGACATACGTGGTACAGCACAATGGGCGTGTGTATAAGCAGAGACTCAATAGACTTGGAGTCACGCTTAACTTTAGGAGAGATGCAGGCTACTCTTCGTTGTTCTGTCATGTAAATTGCCTCCTGCACACGTCACCCAAGCATCACTTTCATAAGCTCAAGGAATACAAATTCATTTATTACTAGCCAAATTGAAAGATGTAATTAGAAGAGTTAAAAATGTATAATTCATTCCAAAAGTGAAAGCGAGACGACCTTCAGTGGCTTTCTGTTGTGGGTCATACATGCTACTGTTTCCTTTCGTTACAGAGGGTAATTATTATTCAATTTTACTCACACACACTTTAGCGGCCATCTCTCCTGGTGTGGTTGAAGTATGGGTAGAGTCTATAACTGAGTACTAGTGCTTTGAAAAATAAAGTATTTTTACAGGTGTTTTATTGTGGCTTGGGCAGATTAAGTGGTTATACATGCAGCTGGTTTACTAGCTGTATTCTGAAGGAATGAGAAGTTTCTTCTTCTAAGATTTATCTTTGTACTTTAGCGTTCATGTAAATATACAGAACCTGGAACATTTTTAATGACCATATCTACTCTTGAGTAGTGCTACTTGGCTTAAAATGGCTTGGGTTTTCCACCATGCTCCCCCACATACACACACTCATTTCGCTGCTGAGTGACACCCCCACACATGTTTAAAAAGTTCTTTGGTCTGTCTCTGGATGGAAGGTGCTAAATAACAATATATGGGCAATGTCATAATATTATAAAAATGGAAGAGATCATTGCAGTAAGAGGTGATTCAGGAGGGAATAAGACACACACATGTGTGCACACCCTCCTTCTGGGAACCGAAGACAGGTTGGCCAGGCATATCCAGCTGACAGTCAAGGACAGCTGTAAATGGGGCTGAATTTACTAAAAACATGAAAATTATTTCTTGAGAGATGTGTGTGTGTGTGTGTGTGTGTGTGTGTGTGTGTGTGTGTGTGTGTATCACTACTGCTAAACTAAACCTCTGTTCTTGAGTGTGGACTTTGAGAATGGCAATGTCCTGTCCCAATATCAAAGGCTGGGCATGCCTGTGAGTGAGACAAAAATTGGCCAGTCCTCAACCATTTGCTCCAGCCTATGGTTCTATGGTAGAGTGATACCCACCAAATCCAAGTCCTTTTCCTGACCCGCTGTGGCACCAGCCTTTTTCAGCCTCAGACTACTTTCCCTGCTCTGTCCAGAGGGAAAGAACACACCTCCTACTTAAGCAACACAGCGAGAGAGAAAAAGCTCAAGTTAATTCACAGTTCAGAAGCAAATAGGAAGGAAAACAAAACTCCTCCCATAAGGCCAAATGAAACATTAGGTGGCAGAAACCGACCTAAACTGACTGGCAGAAATGCAGCTGTAGGCTTGGTTTGGGCCCGAGATTCAGGAGAGGGGCATCTTCATGGCTTGTGGGAATCTTGGTTGAAGAAATCAGAGCTCGTGTACACTGATGTAGGCAGGGGAAGGGTTGGGGGGCTGCCACCCAACTCCCCTAAAACTAATCTCAGCTAATGTAATGTTTATCAGAGTCCTTGGATAATGATACTGTGAGTGTCATTAGCATCACCAAAACCCAGTCTAGGTTTTAAAAGAAGGTACGGATGAGTAACACAACTTCAAGTTGATGAAAACAATGACTTCAAACCCACATACGACACACGAGTACGCACGCGCACACACACACACACACACACACACACACACACACACAAGTGTGTGTGTGTGTGTGTGTGTGTGAGAGAGAGAGAGAGAGAGAGAGAGAGAGAGAGAGAGAGAGAGGGGACCAGCAGGTTCCAGTGTTCTGTAGAATGAGGGGCTGCAGCTGTAGGCCGACAGCTTTCATACCCTCATTTGAATAATGTGTCCTGAATCTGTCACTTTATTCATTCTCCTTATGCTCAGTGTACTCTGCATCAACAACAAATTAAGTTGTAAATAAGAGACAATCATCACTTTTGTTTCTAAGCAGCTACTGCATAGAGAATTTCAGTGTTCACTCCTTTCCACAGGAGGAGAGGAGGTGCTAAGAGTTAGATTTCAGAGGCACAAATACAGAGAAACCAACAAAAACAGAAACAGTTTACTGTTGCAGAGGGGGTGGATTTCTTTTCCCCCCTGGGACATCCAGGCATTACCAGTGGAGATTTCATCCATGTAAAGAGAGCGGCAAAGTCTCCTGGATGTCCCCGGTAACGCATGTGACTTGGGGAACAACCTTAGGTGTCGATAGACAAGTGGCATCACAAAAGGGCAGCTGAAGCCAACCACTGACATCTCAGGTGTAGGCCTAAGTCGACCCCACTCCCATCCCCATTGACTCCCAAGGGTCCAGATCGCGAATGCATCCACAGACAATGAACAACGGGTAAGGAAAACGGTCCCAAGGGTCCAGATCGCGAATGCATCCACAGACAATGAACAACGGGCAATGAAGACGGTCCCTACCTTCACATCAGAGAAATAGGTCTTCAGCATGTTGGAGCTTGGGTAGCGGGTGTAAAAGAACATGAGCTTTGCCTTTTTCAAGTGATTGGGTGATAACCCTTCCTGCATGTAGGAATCGGTTAAGGCACAAACAAGGTTAAACAAACGGGGCCACCCCTCCTGTCCTCATCTCCACACACACTCAGAGTGTCTAGAATCCCCCCATAAGCCGGCCTGGGAAAGCTGTGTGGTCATCCAGATGGACTATGAAATCCATCACTAACTGGACCCCTTGCATGCAGAATGCTCACTGCCTGTCTTGCATTGCCAAAGGGATGCACAGTTCAGTTGCAGATTCTTGGCTACTTCCTGATGAGGATGGCCAAGCCCGCCTCCAGTATGCTATCCATACAATTCACTTGTTGCTAAGGAGACCGACCAGCCTATCACCACTGCAGGAGTCTTACCTAGGAGCTACATTCCCTCTCTGAAGTTACCACTCTGTTTGCTCTTTTTGGTACACTCTGCAGTTTGCCTCAGATCATCACACTGACCTAGGTAAAGCTACACATGGCGTTCTGTGTTCTCCCTTGCAGCACTATCACAGTGAGGCTTCAAGACTCAGTTTCTTCCTATCTTATTTTGATTGTCTTTGAACTGTTTCTTTTAAAATAACAGTGCAAACTTGGGAGGGGTAGTCTGGCACCAGAGAAGTGGTGTGTTGCTTTTGTTAAGGCAGTGGTTCAGCACCAACTACGATTTGCTCACCCTGAATTTATAGTTAACTCCTTTGGGAATGACACAGTAGTTGGGGGCTAACAAATCAATACATGTGTGTTAGCAGATCAATGAAGTAGCCACTTACCCCAAATAAGAAGGCCTATTTATCTGGAAACATCATCACCTCTTAGATCTGTAAACAGTGGCAACGAAGACAGTTCCCAGGAGAAGGGGAGGCTAACCATAACAATCCAGGCTGCCTGATTCTCTCTCAGATTCTTGGCACTCCTCAGCAGGCTCCGAGCTGGGATGGCTCTGGTCACATCTGTGCCGCAGCCTGGCCCTGCCATTTCCTCAGCAAATTAATGGCTTTATAATTTATCAGAGATGAAGATGCACGTGGAGAAAATCAATGTGATCCCCCACAAGGTCAATTAAGGGTCCTTCCTAGAAGCTCCTCTAAAGACTTCCTCTTAAAGGAGAGTGGGAAAAAATAAAGGTGGAAAATAGAAAAGAAGGTGTGTGTGTGTGTGTGTGTGTGTGTGTGTGTGTGTGTGTGTGTGTGTGTGTCCCACACTTCGTTAGCTACCCATTGAAAATTTCACACCTTAGGAAGAAAGGTCAGGTAAGTGTAGACACTTGGGAAAGAGAGCAGGTTCCCAGTGACCTCCATTAGGACTGTGAATCCTAAGAACAGTGGGAACCAGGAAGGACCTGGAGATGCATAGTCAAATTAATATCCATAAGCTCTTGACTCCTCCTGACCAAACACGCTGCTGTGAATGTGTTCTGAGGACATCCTCCTTTATATCCTATGCTATTAAGGGGGGGAAATAAGATCACCATTGTTTTTAAATAGAAAAGTGAGCTATTGTGGCTGTGTGTGTCTGTGTGTGTGTGTGTGTGTGTGTGTGTGTGTGTGTGTGTCTGTGTTTTTGTCTGTGTGTGTGTGTGTGTGTGTGTGTGTGTGTGTTTAACTGAGAATAAACACTGAAGAAAGAAATTTTGATTTTTCTCTGTGCAAGCCAAAGCAGCTTAACTGGACTTGTGTTTTTGTTTAAGGTCCTTAATGATTACAAAGACGATAATTTATGACTGACATACTTGTTGTGCCAAGGAAAAGCTGAAAGGCCCTCTAGTAACCTCCATTAGACTAAAGGAGCCGGGCACTTCAGGACCATCTGCCCAAATGGGTAAGTGAAATCAGAGTTGCAAGCTGTCTCCCGGCTCATGGTAACAGTTTCCATTGAGCCCAAACTTGGATGATTATCTTCGATCTGGGTTCTAATCTTTTCTTTCAGAGGGGGTCCTGCCTATGATTCTAAGTCCCAAACAATCTTGTAGATTTGGTCTCAAACAAAAGACAAACTGTTTGGTCATGTGTCTAAGAGAGGCACTGGGCTGCCCAAATACCCTGGGTCTTTTCATGCATCTAAATTTTGTTAAGATATTTTAGCTTTTTGTATTTAAAAAAATCCATTCTTTTTTTTTAATCAGAATTTAGAGGCTTTTTATTTAATGAAAAAAAAAACATAATTCTGATGCAAATTGCTCAAGTTTTTGCTTCAAGATGTTTCCGGTTGGAAATACTTGGCACCATCTGCCCAAAGAGAACACAGAACCTGTCTCTGTCCCTCTTGATCCTTGTGTAATTAAGATAAAATTCTCATAAAATATACGTTTCTAATAAACTATTAAAAATAGTTAATGAAACATTTAAAAGCCAGCAGTTAGATAATCCTTTTTTTTTCCCCTCCTCAAAATCAATCTGAACTGACCAATTGGTTAATTTCCCTTTTAAGTGCTTGTGCTGAAAGCGACTGCTCTCCCAAGAAGGCACTAGCTGTTTCCTGGATACTTACACACGCACAATGACTCACGATGGAATAGATTCAGTAAACATACAGCTGTACTGAACACGAGCTAAGCTCCATTCAAGGCCAGGAAAGAAAATGAGCACAAATAAATATTAAGGAGGTGAAGCGGTGGGGGAGGGGAGGGGATGCAAACAAGCGCTGTCCCGACAGCTCACGCGGCTAGCCTCAGTTCTCTGAGCCTTAGCTTTGTGAAGACAGATGACATCCAATTCTATGTGTAATGCAAAATAGACAATAACTGGAGAAACTTGAGACCGCTGCCAGGTGTAAAAAAAAAAAAAAAGAAAGAAAGAAAGAAAAAGGAAAAAAAGAAAAGATGATAAATCCATAAACTAATGAAAGGCATCTGCTTGGCACAAGAAGGAGCCGGGTACAGCTGGACCTAAGAGTGCAAACAACCTGAGCGTCAATGGCTTGTTTACCAAGCACAGCATAACCTTCCCCAAACGGCAGCAGCCACAGGAGGGACAGCTCAGGCAAAGGCAACAGAATAGGCCCTGAAGGCTACAGGAAGAAAAAATTCCCCTGGCTGAACTCTGGGTTTCATGCTGCAGCTCCACGTGGGGAAGAGGGTTAGCCCATTTTCTAAACACTAAGAAACAGAAAGAATTTCCCTTCTCTGATTTGCTCTGAGGCTTTCCCAAGAAAATCCAGTGGATGGAAAAGAGATAAGCTCTCATTTAGCGACAGCAATAGAGCCGGCTGTCACTCTACCGGGGGTCTGACACCATCAGAGAGCTGGGTAGGGTTCTTTTGTTTGTTTGTCTGCTTTAGTGACTTTTGTTTTCTTCTGGAGATGGTTAAGTTCCTTCCTATAGCCATTCAGGATTTCATCTCTGTGTTAAATTCCGAGGCCCTCCAAGCCTTCTGGAGACACCAGAGAGCATACTTTACACCCATATTCCCAGCACAAGGGGTGCTGAGGCAGGGGGATTGCTATGATCTCAAGGCCAGCCTAGGCCACATAGTGAGACTTTTTCTCAACAAACAAACAAACAACCATCGTTTTAAACTGGTGTTGGACTTCAATTCATGCCTAGAAAGTTTTCCCTTCTCAATCCCAAACATTCCTGTGGCATTCTTTGCAAATGTAGAGCCCAGAGAATAGGCTGTGGACCGCCAGCTGTGCGTCTCTTAATGGTTCCTCTGACCACCTTGTGCTTGAGCTGGGTGGATGCAAATGTGGAAGGCGAACACAAGGCTATTTTTCTTGAGATGCAAAGAAGAGGAGAGACAAGGAACATCACAAAGAAAGACAATTGGCTAGTGATTCTTTAGGAATTTGAATAAAACTTAATATTTGATTAAGCGGGTTCATTTGCAAAGATACTGAACACACTGTTTTATACCCAAGACACGAGCTCTTTGGCCAGGTGCACTGAAGTTCCATTTAAGGTGAACACCATCATGACTTCCTTCCTTCCTTCTAGAAGGACTACAAGGCAGCGCACCTGGTATTTCGAACACATATAACAAATGTGTTCACCAGAGCCTGGAGCCACTTGAGAAGCTGGTATTCAGCAGTGCTCTTTACCGTGGCTGCTTCATGAGAAACTGGAATGCCCTTTGGAGTAAGAAAGAAGTGTTCTTGAAGGGGGAGATTATGCAGCCCTGGAGTTATTGTTCAGTGGACAGGTTTTTCACCTAGCATGGACAAGACCATGGGTTCAATCCCTAGCATGCTGAGGGTCTAAAAATAAACATTATTCATGCCAATTTAAAGACCTTTGAAAGCACAGTGATGTCTGGTCCTCACGCACCATCCTAGGATATTTCCCCTAGGGCCTTGTAGTCTAAAAACTGAAATAAAACATTGCTTGCTGTGATTCCTCAAGATTTTATCAATCAAAGCTTGAGCTTTTTTTTTTTTTTTTTGAGGGGGGGTCTAAAACAGAACAGACAAAATGGTTCAGTAGAACAGTCTGAGTCAGGTGAGCCACGCCAAGGGGAGCAGGTGTTAAGTGGGAACAGGTTCCCTACTGTGGCTTGCCTGTCCTTTTCCTGAGACCTGATCTAATAATAAACTGACCAGCCACAAGTACAAGGAGTAGAGAGCAGAAATCCAGAGGTTAGAAGGCCAAAATGTGGGAAACAAAATAGCTAATTACAGCAAGAGGCCCAAGGCCATGGAGCCTGAAGGAAGGAAGCAACCCCAGACATAAAAACCTGTATTTCAGGCCAACGCTGGCGTCTCCTGCCACCACTGTCAGAGGGGGCTCAGTGCAGCAGGGGACAGGAAAAGTCACTTTGCAGAAGCTACTTCTTTTCCTTCAAATCTTCAAAATTCCTCAGGGGATTTAGAGAGAAAGGGTGACACAGTGAACTTAGCAAGCCAAAGACTTTTCTCTCCCTGGAAAACCAAGCTAATGAAAAGGGGCATAATTACAATTGTCTGAGCATGCCACCAAGTCCAAACACCAAAGCTGGTGTTACCAGTGAGGCTTTTCTGTGTACATTCAGGATTTTGAAACCTAGCTTAACTGGTCACTAAGATGAGCACGTGTTACTGTGGGGTTGGGGTGGGGGCCACTGCAACTTTACTATTTGTTTTAAAATGCAGTTCTCTGAGGTACAAGGAGTCTAGCCTTAGACATAAATTAGCCTAACATGATTGTATTCTCTGGTGGATGGACAGCTACTCAAGCCATCCATCCCTTCCTCCTGCCCTGCAGCTCTGGTCCAGGCACTTTGAACAAAACACACTGCCAGCTCTTAATACAGAGCACAGCCGTGAGGCTTGCCTTCTGGTGCACTGAGTTCTAGGGTTTTGAAAATCTGAGGTTGAACCAGAAAACAAGCTCAGACTTGAATCTAAGACCTCAGTATCTTTGCCTTTGCCTGAGATGTTCTTTTCTTCATCAGGGTGGGAAGTTTCTGGACCCTGTGGCCCAAGAGGTTTCACACTTGTGACTTCAGCTCACTTTACCAATGGCTGCCCTGGAGGAATGAGAGCATATTTCTGTCATCCTGGCGACTTGGAACTGCTGTGTGTCCTCTGGAGTGGGCTCTGCTGCTAAAATGTCAATCTCTGTCACCAAGACTATTGCTCAAAATCCTCAATTTAGTAACAGCCAACTTAATTGCTAAATTTTATATCCATCTGGTAATTTGTTATACAAGAGGCATGCCTCCACCTGCCCCCAAATGCTACTATTCCCATTCCCCCCGCCACACACACACACACACACACACACACACACACACCCCATAAAAGAAAAGTGAACCACAAAATTAAAAGAAGATATTGAAAGGACTGACTTGTGGAAGAAAAAAAAAAACGTTATGGATTAAAAATTGCTACCTAAGAGTCAGGCTCAGGATGGAAAAGAGTCATTCAAGATGCCATTTTTTATACAGCTGAGTTTTGGATTTAGCTGTGTTCTCTCGTTTTCCAAAATAATTTGCTTTGTGTGTGTTCGGACAAAAGATTTCTGTGTTTGGCTGAGCAGAGGCCACTCATGCGTACAGGCAGCTGCCCCAGACCCACAGAACAGACCTCAGTGACACAGGGAGGTTAATGCCTTCAGAATAAATCAGTACCTGCCCATCTCCTTTAAGATTAAAGACAGGATGCAAGCCCTCCCCATACCCTGGCTATCCCACAGTGGCAGCAGCTTCCCTGTCCTTCCTGAGATCTAGTTAGGCCCCTGCAGACACTGTGGCCTCAAAGGTAGTGAGTGTTTTTGATTATATCACAGGTCTGAAAACTGACTTTTCTCCATTTTCTTGTCCTAAAACTTACCGTCTTTATAAAATTCAGTATTTATGAGGTGCCCCCCCTAACTCCATCTGCCCTCAAGAAAGGAGACAAGAAAGTCACACAGGAAGAAAGGCAGAGACAAGCACTGTTGGGAGATTGCCTTAGAGACAGTTCCTAGAGGTGATCATGTACTTGTCAAAATCACACGGTTGTTGGAGTTAGTTTTTAAGTTTCTCTGCACTCAGAGGCACCCAGAACATGGCTCCCATAGCCTATTATGTTGAGTAATAGGAAAGGCTACATTTTTAAGAAGGTACTGGCTGTGCGTTGTGGTGCATGCCTGTCATCTGAACACCTCAGGAGATCCAGGCCAGCCTGGGCTACAGAGTGATGCCTTGTCTCCAAGTCCCAAAACCTAACCACAACTAACGCCCTCCCCCCTCCCAGAACACTCCAAAAACCACACTGACATATATGGTCACCTAAGCTTTGAGGGGGGACCTCCTTGGGGACTTTTGTTTATGCTTGTTCTGGGGGGGAAAGATAAAAGGATATTGCGCTTCCCGAATAAGGTGAGATGTCAGACATATCTTGAAGATCTCCACACTCAGACTTTATGAGTGACAAAGAGAGTCCTTCTGCAGTGCTGGGTGGGTGTGCTGGTGAACAGGGGTGGTGGCTCAGATGGTGGGATGACATCTTGGTCCTCAGACTCGTTGTGTCCCTAGTTAAGTCTAAGGACTCGGGAGAGGCTCTGTCTTTTCCCGAGAAGGAGCCCGAGGGAGCACCTAGTGGACTCTGAAATGGGTAGGCCATCAAGGGCAAGGGGAAGGGATGGCGGAAGCTGGGGGTGGTGAAGCCGGCGGTGGCAGAGAGAGGAGACTGGTGCAGGGGCTGGTGGTGGCCACCAGTGGCTGGGCCAGAGGCAGATTGCTCAGAAGAGTTTTTGCGGACCACCAGGGGAAGTGCTTCTGTCTGGTCTGTGGAACTGGGCATCTGCACATTGCCAAAGGTGTCCAGGGGGTTCGGAATGATGACGTCACCAAAGCATTGCAGGCGTTGGTTGGCCGTATGGAAATTGTGGTTTTCCCCATTGACTGCGAATCTGGCCTGGGGGATCTGGAGAGGTGGGAAGACCTGAGGAACCTGGCGAGAGGGTTTGGCTGAGAAGACTTTGACCACCGTGTCCACGACCTGTGACATGGCCGTGTTCAGCTCCTGTTTTAAGGTCTCTGCCAGATGCTTGCCTTCTGGCTGCAAGGAATTTGGCCCGTGGTCTCTCTCTTTGTTGCTGCCTTCTCGCTTCGGCTTGTTCTCGGCCATCTCCTGCTCCCTGATCAGGGCTCGAGCCCTGTCGATGAACTGCCCCGGGTCCAGCTCACACATCTCATTGTCTGAGCGCCCCACCGAGTCCTGGGCCCGTGCATCCAGGATCTCCGAGCGCATGCTGTCTTCAGACAGGTCGCCATCTTCATCATTTTCAGAGTCGGTGCTGTCATAGACCTGGTAGAACTTCTCCTGCAGCTGGCGCAGCTGCTTCTGCATGTCCTCCAGCTGCTGCTTCAGCTGCCGGCGCTCCTCACGCTTCTGTTCTTTTCGGGCTGAAACCAGCTGCTGGAAACTCTGTTGCTGCTGCTGGGGCAGCTTCTGCTTGCGTTTGTTTTCTCTGTAACTTTCTCGGGGACTAACAGACTGTGGGGCCATCTCTCTTTCATTTTCATTGCCCCTTAATGCCACACTGGGGGAATGGCTCATACCCCGGATGATATTCTCAACCCGGGCGCGTTTTGCTCTCAGGTGCTCATCACATAAGCGATCCACATCAAACTGGCTCATAGTAGGCCTGCCAAAAGGGGAAAGACACTCTGGGGGGCTGTCTCTTGAAGAGTTGCTGCATATATCCTCCTGATGTACTTCGGAGCCTGTGCTAGAGAGACCGCTGGCTTGGAAACTGGGCTCGGTGCCACCGTTTTTGTTCATGTTATTTTTCAACAGCTGGGAAATTATAGTTGCTCCTGGAAAAGGCATCATGGCATCTTCATACGAGTTCGCCCTCTTCAGCAGCTTGCGGAGTACGTTCGACTTCTCCCCATCTGCCTGTTGTACCACAGAATAGTCAACATCCTGCTCTGAGCCTTGGGGATTCATGGCACTGAAAAATGTTGCCCTTGCCTTAGCAAAAAATGCAGACGCTGTCCCTACTGTCCTTTTCACTCCAATGTCAACTCTTCTCCTCTTGGTTTGCCGGCTTAAGAGGGCTGTGCTGTCATGGTCAGGCATCACTGGACAGTTATTGTGCCATCTTCAAAAGCTCGTCAGCTGGGCACAGCTCAAGAATCCCGGGACCCTGGCCAACAGAACAAAAGGACTGATGAATCATTTTCTTTAAATTTCTCCAAATTTCCTGACCTCAATCCTGAATCAAATGCAAAATGCATAGGCTCTGGGATTTATGGCACATCACAATTATTGCAATTTATCATGAACTCTGCTTGAAATGAAACATTTTTAAATATTTCTGCTCCACTGGTTTAAGATGGATTAAGATTAAAAAAAAAAAAAAGCAAAAACTGCTTAAGCACCAGTAATATGATTCTCTTTCACAAATGCCTAAAATGATACTGTTTATCTTCGGAAGAAATGGCAGATTATAAGAACACAGCCTCTGACAAGCAATTGATTAAATTTGGGGGCATTGAGAGTCTTATTCTAAAAGAAGAGGCGAGTGGGTCACACTTAAGAAACAGGGTTAAATTTTGAGGCCGTGTGATATTTGGATGAAGAGCTGGTCTCTAAAGCACTGTGGCTTTCATGTCACTGAAGGAAGGGAAGACTCCAATATATGCAGATATTTAGCACACACTTTTATTACTGAATTTAAAAATCAATCTTGTCATATGTGAAATGGGAAGAACATAGCGACCAGCATCTTCCAGGCATTACTAGTCTGTTAAGCACTGAGATAAAGGCAGATACTCATTGTTCAGTATTGCTTACTTAGCACAGTGATGGGTTTTGGTCAGTGAATTCACAGGTGAAGATAATATCTGTTGCTGTGTCTACATACAACAAGGAGATGTTTAGACATGGTCACAGTATCCTTTCAGTGGCTTCAATTGTTAGAAAGTTAGACTGGCCGTTGCCACATTTTGGGAGCCAGGATGTGTAACAGTACATTACTGGACCAGGCAAGAATACACACATCTTTTAGTAACAGTTTTGTTCTGATAAAATCTGCCAAAACAGTACTTCAAATGGCTAAGAAACTCTTAAACACACACCATTTGTAGGTCTTATTGCCTATGCCAAGGAAAGGGGGAGAAGGGGTGGGGTTGGGGAAGCTAAACAGAAGAAGCAACTGGAAAAAGATATAAAGGAAATAAAATATCAATCAAATATATGAGAAAGGAAGATGGCTTCTTTGTATGTCAACTAGCATTGCTTTAGGGGCAAGATATAAAAAGGAAACATCCTTGCCTATATTTTATCAAAGCCCCTTGATACATTGTGTCACTTAGTAACTTGCTCCAGATTTTATATGCATGCAAAAGACAGCACATCTTTTTGTTTACAATTAACGTTTTATGAAGAAAATGAAAATACTGCCTTCATGCCAGGTTTATCTGATATTGAACTTCAAATTTGCTTAACAGACCACATCTTCACAATAACGGGCTCCATTGCCAAAGGCAGCGTGTGGAGTACTTGGACTCTCTCCCATCTCTTTCGGTTCACCTGTAAAAACATCTACGTGCTCCATAGGCGTACATCTGTGGCTAGTTTTAAAGAACGACTACCCATGCAAATAAGCATGATTTCCACATGAAATAATCTGTAAAATTCAAGAAAATGCTCCATGCTTACATGGCAACAATATGCTGGTCTTTTTTTTTTTTTTTTTTTTTTTTTTTTTTTTTACAAAAATTTTCCCACTTGTTTTTTTTTTTTTTTTTTTTTTTTTTTTTTCATGACAAATATTTCACCATGCTGTGTTTGCTCGTGGTGTTTTTCTCTGAAGACAAAATATTTTTTTAGAAGAGCCTGCTTCAGGGTGTCCTGAGGCAAGGGGTGATGGTTCTTTCTAGAGATCTCTGTATTTCTGAGGGTGAAACACTGCAAGGCAAAATACCCTGGATTTGGGTTGGAGTTTGGGATCCCAATGACTTTAATACTAGGTTCAAAATTAAGTTCAGAACAACTGAGACTCCTTACCCACTAATGACAATTTGTTTGGGGATGACAAAACCCAGCAATACATATTTTGCTGGCAGTACATTGTGTGTGACCGGTATACAGCTGCCACTGTCAGGTGAGAGCAAGAGCAGGAAACAGGGACAATTTCTGAGGCACAGAAACACTTGGATGTGGGTGGTTATGAGGAAGATTCTTTTGTGCATATATCAGCTTTCCAAAACCAGGGCTCCTTGTCATCATTGTAAGATTTTTTTTTTACATCATTTGTGTGAGTGTGTGATTCTTTTTTCTCTCTTCAGTATCACCTGCAAAGCACATGGATCTCTAATGAAGACCGAAGAAGCTCCGTGCTATTTCTCGTCTCCCCCTTTTCACTTGCTACCCAGACTGGCCTTCCTTCCTGCCCATCCTGGACTCTGAAGAACACCTCTGAGGCAGAGGCCCCCAGAGGCCCTGCCAGTGTATAGATGAGCACAAGGTCATCCCAGGCACCCTTCCTCTCCCAGCTGCCATTCACCTCTGTGTAGCCTAGGTACCAACAGCTGCATCCCTGCCTCAAGCCACAGCCAACAGGAGGCTGGGCTCTTCTAAGGTAGGACAGCACCACTCTTTTATCTTCAGTGGAGAGTAGATATTAATTAGACATACGCACTGGGCCCATTGAGACCTAATACCCTGTAAGTCCCTCCAAACTCACCAAGCTAAATTGATTTCTTAAAAATCTGTATCAGATATCATTTAAAAATTAAATAATGATTTATTTCTATTTTGGGCAAGGAGAATACAAATACTTTAGGTCTCCCTGTAAAATATCCAGCTAAGATATAAACAACAGGACAAAATAAATGGGGAAAAATAATTTTACCCAGCAAGACAGGGCATTATGTTAATAGCTACACATTAATTTATTTCTCCATACAGTTTCTTAATATTTAAACAGAAATAAAAGGAGAGTAACCGTACACGTCAGGGCCATAATCCAGGGACATTATAGGCAAGATTAAAAAATAATAGGTGGGTAACCTGCTACATGTCTACCATCATATTTCATTGAACTGAATGTACAAAAATATATTTCCACATCAAAATGCACTATCAAGTGGCCATGGTGAAATTAAAACAGCTAAGAGCATTTTCCAAGGATTTCTATAATTTCCAATCCATAGCTTCCAGGATGCTACATGAGGACTTAGTCACTCAGAGGGTCAACTCACTGAGGTATCCAACAACTTCAAGTCTTTTAGCATGTGAACTAAGTTGTGGTTTTTCAACTCCAATTACTTTGGGTTCTTATAATGTTTTTACTTTAATACCAATTTGGGGTTTAAGCAGGTAATATAAATAAAGCCTTTGGGCCAGTCCTTCTGAGAAACAGTACAAAGAAGATGGAAAAATAGTGATAATAGAATCTGGACTAAATGCTTACTGCCCAAATACATGTGTTTTATAAAGCTCTCCCAAATTCATGTGAAAACCTATGGCAAAATGTTACATTATTAAACACATGTTGCGTTGATTGGTACACGGCCTACACACATACTCTAACAACACCTGTAAAACAGGCAGCACAACAAGGCAGATGCCTCCTTAAAAAAAAAATAGTGGGAAAGCAACTTCAAGCCATGATCAAGTCAGAACTCTGTGCTCCTAAAGGTGCTCCTTGAAACCCAAGTGTCTGCATTCTGTTTGACAAGATCGATCCAGAGGACACTGCTGACCTAATGTTGTAAAATATAATTTTCAGTAAAGAAAGTCAAAGGAACACAGCAGTGTAGAGTGGCTAAGGGCTCGACTTTAATAAGGAAGTTATTTAGGGAAGGGGATGTGTAACTTTTACTATATCTACCTAGAGCCCAGATTCTAGACAAAGAGGTGTTTCATTATGGTAATTACCCAGATAGTTCAGTCGGATCTTTGATGAGGATGAGTAGTGTAAGGCTGGCATGGCTTCCTGCCTCAGTTATTCAGGTATCTGTCCAGGCTGATAAAATTATTTGAAGAAATGGCTGGATTTTATTTCTTTTACAAAGTCATCTTTAAAGTGCCTCTAATGAGTTAAGCTGGTCATGTGGTTTCAAGTGGAAAAATAATCATCAATATCGTAAGTCATACTGAAAATCAGCCTGAATCCGGCAGGGGAAAATCAGGTGCTTTGATTTATATAGGCACACTAAGTCACTCGATGTGCTCTCCCTCAGTTCTGCTAATTAACAACTTTTAATTTAAAGAAATCTCTACATGCTACAAGGGTAAAAAAACCTACTAGGCATAAGTTAATAATTTAAAGAATTGAGATCTTATTGGTGAAAATTTTAAATTTCCTTTTACAATAAAAGGTTTCAAATCATAGCCGCATCATTTGGTATTCTTCCATCCTATCTAAAATTCCACTCATTTTTTCACTTGAAAAGCGAACACAGAACATTTTCTGAGACCTGCCCAAGGTATTGATTTCCACTTATTTAAAAGTTGCAATTCATCAAATTGGGCAAATACAAGAGTGTGAGAAATAATCTTTAAAAAAAGTGCACTCATGCTTTTTTTCTTGTTGCAGAAAAACCAAAATGCTCAAAATATTCTTTGGAGCTTTGCAATGCTTTAGGCAACAAGACTGGAGAAGTTTCTTCTATGTTATCCTCCCAATTTATGAAAACACGGAATTTGTAACCTATAACAAAAAGCATGCAAAATCTGTTTTCACACTATGACACCACTAACATTTTATAATTTCTTTGAAAAATTGTAAACAGTAAAAATTTTAATATTGATAGTGTGTAGTTGAGACCATACTTGAAATGATGAAGGGACTTTATGAGTTTTTGAACAAATGAGAAGGAGCCTGGCAACTTATTGAGTGAGTTAGCTCAGGTTTGCAGGTTGCACAACCTGCTTGCAGAGAAACCGAGCTAGCAAATGAACACATGGAGAACAAAGATGCATGTTGTATATGCATGACTTTTCCCCACAAGGTGGTGATTAAACTAAATAGAATTCTGCATAACGGGCACATAAAATATCAGTAAGTGCCAAGCATGACTAACACTTATTAAAAATAAGCATGCGAGCATAGCTATGGATGACGTCTT